TGCACCAGAGGAACCAGCTAGCATGGAGGAGGCACTAGCTGGATCAGATAGGGAGAAGTGGCTGGCTTCTAGGGATGCTGAGTACTAGAGAATGGGACATGGGATCTGGTGGTGCTGCCTGATAGGAAGAAAGCGTACATGCAAGTGGGTGCTGAGATCAAGACCGATGACAAGGGGCAGGTCACCATCTACAAGAGTACCTGGTGGCTAAGATGTTTATGCAGAAGGAGAAGCAGGACTTCAACGAGATCTTTGCTCCCACTGCCAAACCCCCTACTCTCCGTGTCTGTTTGCAGATGCAAACGTTAGTGGGAAATTCATCATTCAGATGGATATTTCAACGGCATTCCTGAATGGGATTTTAGAGGAGGATGTGTACATGACGCAGCCGCCTGGGTATGAGGATGGTACAGGCAGGGTGTGCAAGCTCAACAAGTCCATCTACGGCTTGAAGCAGGCACCACGCTGCTGGTACCAGAAGTTGGCAGCTGTTTTAGAGGAGATGGAATTCAGGACCAGCAGCTGTGATGAGAGCCTCTTTCTCAAGGGCGAGGGGGAGAAGCTGGTGCTGTTTCTGGTCTACGTGGACGACATTCTTCTCTTCAGCAGCAGCATGAAGGAGATCCAGAAAGTACAGCAGCAACTGATGGAAAACTTCAAGTGCAAGAACCTTGGGGAGGTAAAGTACTACCTCGGGATGCACGTGGAGAGGGATCCTGATCACAGGTGGTTGAAGCTGCACCAGGAGAAGTTCATCAAGGAGCTGGGGGAGAAGTATGGGATTGAGAATGAGCGCAAGGTGCAATCCCCTGCCAAGAATTTAAGCTTGTGAAGGCTGCAGAGGATGAAGGGATTGAAGCCAGGAGCACAGCAGCAATTTCAGTCCTTGATGGGCAGCCTCTTGTAACGCAGCAGTTTACACGAGGCCCGACATCTCGGGCACAACATTGTAATGCGCTATGAACAGTGCAGCAGGAAGACAGCTCGCAAAGGAACCAAGATGGAAGCTTTGCAGTTCGGTTGAGTTGATTGCGCAGATTCAGTTCTATCCAACTCGGAATTGTATGTACCGGTTTGGTTGGTCAACTATAGTGTAGCAGGGAAGGCACTATAGGGGTACAATTTAGGTGAATGTTGGATGTTGTTTGTCTGTATCTGCATGCTACAAGGCCAGGGGAAACCAGCGGAACCAGCATTTTGGCTGGTTTGGGCAAAGACAAAACAGGTTCTGTTTTTAGAACCTGAACCTGGTTGTTGTTTTCCCAGGTTGGAAAAACAGAACCAGAGGTTGTTTTACCAACCTACCACCTGCTATTTTGTCCAGCTAGGTTGGTTCTGTTGCTTGGAATTATTTGGGATCATCCTTGGTTGTTCCCAGGTTGATTCCCAAGGTCCTTGCTAGCTAGAACTATTTAATCCTTCTCTGTTTGTACCTGAGCATAGTCAAATTGATTCAAGCGAATTCCTTCCTCGCTGGAATTTCGTTTCTGCGCTTGCGACGACGGCGGAATGCTACCCCCCCGAGTCAACGCTAGTATGCTAGCACTCCAACGCTAGGCAAACGCTGTCCGAGCCATAGCTTAGTAATGGCAGAACTTTTCCGCGAGGCAACTTGGCTCATTTTAAAGCTCATGGAGCGAGCTTCGATATAGCAAGTTCTCAGCTTAATCCGATCGACGGTCTGCACGGCACGCTGCGCGACGTTCAAGGTGCTCTTGCTGTTTTGACTAAGTCCTTCTTGATCCTCTCTCTCTACAAACTCGGACCCGAGGATAGGGGCTGGTCTTGTACCAGGCACCCAGGGACCCTTGGAGGTGACCCCGAGGAGAGGTTTTAAGTTTGATTAAGTCCTAATAGCTTGAGTTTATTAGGCCCTTACACCAACAAAAACTTCAAGTGCAAGAACCTTGGGGAGGTAAAGTACTACCTCGGGATGCACGTGGAGAGGGATCCTGATCACAGGTGGTTGAAGCTGCACCAGGAGAAGTTCATCAAGGAGCTGGGGGAGAAGTATGGGATTGAGAATGAGCGCAAGGTTGCAACTCCCCTGCCAGCAGAATTCAAGCTTGTGAAGGCTGCAGAGGATGAAGGGGTTGAAGCCGAGGAGCAGCAGCAATTTCAGTCCTTGGTGGGCAGCCTCTTGTACGCAGCAGTTCACACAAGGCCCGACATCTCTTTCTCGGTTGGGCAGCTGGCTAGGGTGGTGCAGAATCCATCAGAGGAGCAGGTGGATGCAGCTGAGCGTGTGGTGAAGTACCTGAACTCTCACCCAAGCATTGGAGTTCAATACTCCGCATCTGTACAGGTGAAGCAGAAAGGGGTGGAGGTGCTGAAAGAGAAGGGAGAGAGGCTTGGAGAAGGCAAGCTCTTTCTAACTTGCTTTACCGATGCCACGTGGGCTTCTGAGAAGGAGGATTCCTCATCTGTGGGAAGATACATCTGCGTAGTTGGGGGAGGACCTGTTAGTTGGAGGTCCAAGAAGCAGACGGAGACGGCACTCTCTTCCGTAGAGTCAGAGTACATGGCGATGTTCCATGAGGTGAAGGAGGTGATTTGGCTGAGGAGGCTGTTAGAGGAGGCTGATGAACGCTGTGCTTCATGGGCTGAACAAGCACATGCGTATCAAGTGGCACTGGCTGCGTAAGGAGGTGAAGAGGGGGACGGTGAACCCGATCTACATCAAGACTCACCAACAGCCAGCAGACTTTCTCACCAAGAGGCTTGCAGATGAGCCTCATTGGCGTTGTGTGCGCATGAGTGGAATAAGCATGAACTAGCATGGAATGACGGGGATGCAGCCGGCAGGCTGAGGGGGAGTGTGTTGGGTGCAAATTTACATTGCACGACATCCTGCCGTCTGTTTGTACGAGTATGTGTGTGCGAATGCATTTGGGTGTGAATGGAATGTTCGTGTGTTTGTTTGCTTTCGCAATTTTCGCTTGATGCATTTGCAGTACTCTCGCGCAATGTGCGCTTCAGCACAACATTGTACGCGCTATGAACAGTGCAAGCAAAAGGACAAGCACGCAAAGGAACCCACGATGGAAGCTTTGCAGTTCGGTTAAATTCATTACGCAGATCCAGTTCTATCCAACTCGAAATTGTACTGTTTTGTTTGATTGACTATAGTGTAGCAGGGCAGGCACTATAGGGGTACAATTTGGGTGAAGGTTGGATGTTGTTTGTCTGTATCTGCATGCTACAAGGCCAGGGGAAACCAGCGGAACCAGCATTTGGCTGGTTGGGCAAAGACAAAACAGGTTCTGTTCTTAGAACCTGAACCTGGTTGTTGTTTTCCCAGGTTGGAAAAACAGAACCAGAGGTTTTTTACCAACCTACCACCTGCTATTTTGTCCAGCCAGGTTGGTTCTGTTGCTTGGAATTATTTGGGATCATCCCTGGTTATTCCCAGGTTGATTCCCAAGGTCCTTGCTAGCTAGAACTGTTTAATCCTTCTCTGTTTGTACCTGAATATAGTCAATTGATTCATGCGAATTCCTTCCTCGCTGGAATTTCGTTTCTACGCGCGGTTCGCTGGCGGAATGCTACCCGAGTCAACGCTAGTACGCTAGCACTCTAATGCTAGGCAAACGCTGTCCGAGCCAGAACTTAGTAATGGCAGAACTTTTCGCGAGGCAACTTGGCTCATTTTAAAGCTCTTGGAGCGAGCTTCGATATAGCACATTCTCAGCTTTATCCGATCGACGGTCTGCACGGCACGCTGCGCGACGTTCAAGGTACTCTTGCTGTTTTGACTAAGTCCTTCTTGATCCCTCTCTCTACAAACTCGGACCCGAGGATAGGGGCTGGTCTTGTACCAGGCACCCAGGGACCCTTGGAGGTGACCCCGAGGAGAGGTTTTAAGTTTGATTAAGTCCTAATAGCTTGAGTTTATTAGGCCCTTACACCAACACTAGTTCGGGGGGTGCTGGAGCTGGAGGTGTTGGCACTAGTGGTGCTAGTTTTGGGGGTGTTGGAGCTAGAGGTGCTGGCACTGGAGGTGCTAGTTCTGGGGGTGCTGGAGTTGGAGGTGCTAGTTCTGGGGGTGCTGGAGCTGGTGGTGCTAGTTCTCAGGAGGTTGGCGCTGGAGACACTACTACTGCGCCTCCCCCGCCACGACCCATGTCTCTAGGCGGCTCGCCGCCGTGAGCGTAAGGAGCAGGAGCGGTTGGAGCGGGAGAGGCGGGAGCTGCAGCAGTTGGACTTGCAGGAGCAGGAGGAGGAGGAGGGAGGAGCAGCAGCAGCAATAACAGCAGCAGCCGTCACAGTAACAGCAGCTGGTGCAGCAGCAGCAGTCGCAGCAGCCGCCACTTTTGCAGCAGCTGTTCCCACCTGTGAGTGGCCTTCGGGCCCTTGGGCTTTCTTTCTCTCCTCTTGTCCTCCCACAGTCTCGTACCGCGTACGGTCCTACGTTTCCTCCTCCAGACTCGACTCCGCCTGTTTTCTCCCCCCCTTGGTCACTGTCGCCTCCCCATGTTGTCTCGCTTGACTGGACCATTCGTTGTCCTCCGTGTGGTCGTCCCTCATCTCCTTCTTACGACCTCCGCACTGACTTGTTTCGTAATACTCATCAACGTTCTCCCCACTGTGTCTCTTCTCCCGTCGCCTCCTGAGTCGTCTCTTACAACCTCCACCTCTACCCCTATCTCTGACTACTACCGTGCTGCTCGCCCTGTTGTTAAACGTGTTCTCGCCTCTCTTGTCACGTACCCTCCTGCCTCTTGGTCGTCTGTCTCGGCTCTTACTGCTATTGTCACTGACTTTGCCGCCACCCACCGCCTTGTCTACGCCACCCGCGTGGTGGCTGCTCCTCCTGTCCGTCCTCTGTCCGCCGGGGGTGAGTTTTGCCATCGGCTGTAACGTCCTAGAGGACAGGCAAGATGAGCTGGAGTTCTTGGCAGCTGCTTTCCCCTCTCTGTGTGCCATGCTGCTTTCCCCTGAGGGAGACCTCGACTCCCTTGACATACCGGCTCCTTGCACGTACTTCGAGGCAGTGTCAGGGCGGTGGGCCTCTCAGTGGAAAGCGGCCATGGAGGCAGAGACGGCATCTTGGAGATCCACTGGCACGTACATTGACGCAGTTCCTCCGCCTGGGCAAACGTAGTCGATGGCATGTGGATTTTCAATGTGAAACGGCCACCTAGATTACCACCGGTGTTCAAGGCGCGCTATGTGGCGAGAGGCTTCAGTCAGCGCGAGGGAGTTGACTTCTTTCAGACCTTCGCCCCGACCCCAAAGCAGCACAGCGAGACTACGAGCTGCACTGCCTCGATTTCTGCACTGCTTTCCTTCAGGGACGACTGCACTAGGAGATCTAGCTGCGACGTCCTCCTGGCTTCACGGGCACCTTCCCACCTGGGACCTAGTGGAGCCTGAGGCAACCAGTCTACGGTCTCCGCCAGTCACCTCGTGAGTCTTACGACACTCTGCGCTCCACGCTTCGTAACCTTGGGTTTCACCCTTCTTCTGCCGACCTATCGTTTGTTCGCTCTGGCTCCACTGCGACTCTTCGTACGCTGACGACGTAGAGACTCAGTGCGACCCCGGGTTACTGCTTCAGCTTGAAAGCTGAAGCTGTGTGATGGAGGTCTACACGGTTATCGTCTGTAGCTACATCCAGCGCCGAGGCAGAGACCTACGCTGGTGCTATGGCTGCGCAGGAGCTTCGCTGGTTGACCTTCTTGCTCGCTGACCTTGGTGAGCGGCCTCGCTCAGCTTCGACCTTGCTCGCTGACAACAAGGCCATGCTTCTCTTGTGTTGCGAGCCTCGTCTGGAGAGCAGGGTGAAGCATATTGACGTGAGGTACTTCCTCCTGCGAGAGCTGCAGCGACGCGGCCAGGCACGCCTGGACTTTGTGGCCTCAGAGGCCAACACTGCAGACGTCTTCACCAAGGCCTTTGCGCCTAGTGACCACCACAGGTTTTGAGTGCAGTTAGAACTTGTTGACACTGGTGCTCGCTTGTAGTAGCTTTGTTCTGCTTGTCGTTGCATCTATATATGCTTGTGAACTCTTGAACTTGTTGGTGTAAGGGCCTAATAAACTCAAGCTATTAGGACTTAATCAAACTTAAAACCTCTCCTCGGGGTCACCTCCAAGGGTCCCTGGGTGCCTGGTACAAGACCAGCCCCTATCCTCGGGTCCGAGTTTGTAGAGAGAGGGATCAAGGAGGACTTAGTCAAAACAGCAAGAGTACCTTGAACGTCGCGCAGCGTGCCGTGCAGACCGTCGATCGGATTAAGCTGAGAATTCGCTATATCGAAGCTCGCTCCAAGAGCTTTAAAATGAGCCAAGTTGCCTCGCGAAAAGTTCTGCCATTACTAAGTTATGGCTCGGACAGCGTTTGCCTAGCGTTGGAGTGCTAGCATACTAGCGTTGACTCGGGTAGCATTCCGCCGTCGAATAGCGCAGAAACGAAATTCCAGCGAGGAAGGAATTCGCTTGAATCAATTGACTATATTCAGGTACAAACAGAGAAGGATTAAATAGTTCTAGCTAGCAAAGACCTTGGGAATCAACCTGGGAACAACCAGGGATGATCCCAAATAATTCCAAGCAACAGAACCAACCTGGCTGGACAAAATAGCAGGTGGTAGGTTGGTAAACAACCTCTGGTTCTGTTTTTCCAACCTGGGAAAACAACAACCAGGTTCAGGTTCTAAAAACAGAACCTGTTTTGTCTTTGCCCAACCAGCCAAATGCTGGTTCCGCTGGTTTCCCCTGGCCTTGTAGCATGCAGATACAGACAAACAACATCCAACCTTCACCTAAATTGTACCCCTATAGTGCCTTCCCTGCTAAACTAAAGTTAACCAAACAAACAGTACAATTCCGAGTTGGATAGAACTGAATCTGCGCAATCAACTCAACCGAACTGCAAAGCTTCCATCTTGGGTTCCTTTGCGAGCTCGTCCTTCCTGCTTGCACTGTTCATAGCGCATACAATGTTGTGCCAAAGCGCACATTGCGCGAGTACCTGCAAATGCATCAAGCGAAAATTGCGAAAGCAAACAAACACACGAACACATCATTCACACGCAAATGCATTTGCACACGCATACTCGTACAAATAGACGGCAGGATGTCGTGCAATGTGAATTTGCACCCAACACACTCCCCCTCAGCCTGCCGGCTGCATCCCCATCATTCCATGCTAGTTCATGCTCATTCCACTCATGCGCACACAACGCCAATGAGGCTCATCCGCAAGCCTCTTGGTGAGAATGTCTGCTGGCTGCTGGTGAGTCTTGATATAGATCGGGTTCACCGTCCCCCTCTTCACCTCCTTACGCAGCCAGTGCCACTTGATACGCATGTGCTTGTTCAGCCCATGAAGCACAGCGTTCCTGGCCATCCCAAGAGCCCCCTTGCTATCACAAAACAGCGGCGTAGCAACTTTCTGCTCCTGGCCAATCTCCTCTAACAGCCTCCTCAGCCAAATCACCTCCTTCACCTCATGGAACATCGCCATGTACTCTGACTCTACGGAAGAGAGTGCCGTCTCCGTCTGCTTCTTGGACCTCC